TACCACAAAAACAGTCTCAGTGGGGATTTCGCCATGTAGTTGGCGCCATTCAAAGTCGTGAATGTAATAATCGTGCCTCTCCAACTTATCAACATAGAGGGGGGAAACCTCCTTAAACAGTCGTCCTTACACTAGCGACTAAACACAGACGCGTAGAGAAATGCTGTTCTGTTCTACTAGCCTTCCGATACATGTGCAAAAAACTGAAGATCTAATCACCGGCGCCATGTTCAGAGGGAATTGATTCATCAAAAGAAACGTTCTGCCGGAAATTAAGCGTGGCATTTTACAGTGGTAGGGTGCTACTTTGTGAAGATATTTTACCTCAATTTATGAAAGTTTTTCTTTTTTGTGGAATGTAATAATTCTATCTAACTGGTCTACAGAATTGGAAACTAAAGTGAGTCCATTAAAACTATGTCACAATTTTAGCTTCCCTTTTGAATTAAAACCAAAACGGAGGAAATTGTGATGGACGTCGATAATTGTTGTTGGGATTTAACTGGCCAAAAGTTCGCCGAATATTTGCATCTCAGAGGAAGTGAGTTTAAGTCTTTCTGCCTGTTCAGTAAGTATGCACCGCTGGTGTTTTCTGAACAGGCATAAAACATGGTACAGTGCTAGCAGAGTACACTCATTTGTAAACTAATTTGGCTTTGCGGAGGGCTCACCTGGTCGTGGGTTGTCGAATAATTTTCAACAACCTTATGAGTAGTGTTTTACGTCCATGCATGCATGCCGAATATTGCACCAAATCAAACATGATGCGGCCTAGTGCAGCACATTCATTCGCTTTAAAACACCATTAAAAACAAAGATTCAGGTTGTTTCCAGGTGGGTGCCCAGCTAAGACGAATTGGCTTGTAAATGAATGTTTTTCGCTTATGAAGTCCAATTTGAGGTCATTTAGAACATCAGGTTGACGGAAATTCGGGGACTTTGTCTCCCCGACGAGCCACAAGAAAGTCGAAAAAATTGTGGGCTGTGGAAAAATTTTCAGGAAGCTTATGAATATTGTGAGTACTATGTCTATACAGAGTACAGTGCATTTTATTTCTTCAACACTTAACAAAAGCTCTTTTTATATAGCATTTGATAATATGTACAAAATGATAGGTTGGACACACATTATTTGAGAAATAGTTAGTGAAAAGTGTGGGAAACTTGGGCTTCGAAGACCCGATCTCAAGCTTAGCCTGAGCATTTCGAAATTGAACCTCGGTAGTCCTCAAGTATCCCGTAAAATTAGTCTGAAATAAAAAAAGCAGACGCGAGAAGAGCGATTTCAAGACCTTGCAAATTATTAGTGTGGTTTGATACGTGGCATCTTTTGATGGGCGTCAGTGATAAATCTCACCTCAATACAGTTAACTAAAAAATTTCGACTGGATTGGAAACTCTGAAAACGGCTGGTAACGTGACTACCGACAGTAGTGTTCTCTGAAATGGGGTATATGAAACTCTGATGGGAGAGGAGCATCTGTTTGGCAGAAAGCTCCAACACATTGAAATTAGGATGTCCTTTCAAAAACGCAAACAATTAACTGATCTGCGATTCGCCCCAAAGCCCTTTAGGATTGTCATCCTTGCTGCTGATTGACTTAAAAAGGAAGTTAGTTTTGGCCTGATTAGACCAAACAGTCTGCATTTTCGTGCGCGGACGGCGGATGTGACGTTGTTCAATCTGTTCTTGTGATGGATTAAGCACATGCGCGTATTGATACTCCGAATAGACGTCGTGTTCCTAGTCCCGCTATGATACACTTCTTTCAAGATCACAGGTTCCTTTCATGGGGGTCGGAACAGCTAGACCCGGCCGAAAATCTACAATTCTGAAGGGGGTCCTCTTTGGCCCAATGCTCCGATTAAGCGCATGCCTTGATATCTGTGCCATTTGTGTGACGTTCGTAGCGTCAGCGGCCTCAAATTTGACAGTCTCTTTAGGTCTACAACTGTTGTGGCTGTCTTTGAAGAGAGTGAAGTTATACAAATCTGTTCTGTGTGATGTTTACTCACGGGCAAATCCGGGCATCAAAATATGGCAACCTTCTTGCGGGCAGTTTTGGGCGGGATGATTGCGCGATTTACCGATCTCTTTGACCTTTCGACAAGATTTCATCAGTCCAAAAGAATGGTAGCTTGAGACAAGTCGGTGAGCAGTCTGAGAATAGGACAATCAGTTTCTGCGAATCTATCGGACTTGGTAAAATGAAAAATTTTGGAGTTACATTAAGTTGATTATATCATAAAACGAACTTACATAATGCGTAGAACGTGAGTCATCTAGATTGCTGTGCAGGGTCGAAAAATATTTATCTTCTCGAAAATTCATCCGTCCACAAACGTGTCTGCATCTGTTGAAATCCATAAAACAACAAATGCCCCGTTCGAATGACAACCGTCGGAGACGCTTACGTTTAACCCCGCCTGATATTCCGGCATCAGCAACAGTTTTCTGCAGGACGGTACACAGGATAGTTACTTTTATAATTTCTGAAAAATATCCCTTGCATTGCAGACCCCCAGTATTTCAAAAATATCTTGCAAATGCTCCACAAACATGTTCTTATCCATTAACACCCATGCGCGTAACATTCGGCACTATTTCATGTTTTGTTTCCAATATTAATTCAGTGTTTGTCCTACAACTGCTTAACTCTTATGAGAAATCATCACCAGTGTACACTGAGGAATTCGAATCAGCAACATCATGACTATCGATTGATGAAGGAGCCGTTCGGTCACGAGGGTTCGATCAGCAACGTGGTTAACAGAACACATCACGTGCTCACATGCCGATTGGTGCTCAGACGTTCAATCGTCGTGCGGATCAGGCTTTACTCTAAAGTGAATTTCCGTGGCATCAAACACATAGTGACAAATTTGTCTTGAATTCGTTCACAACTTCACTATGTGCATCCCGTTATTTTCCACCGGAATGTTTAGCACGTCTCATGCTGCCACGGGGATATCCAAAAATATTAGCTTTGTGTGTCAACAAATAGGAATGATGAAAACCGGTAATATGTCCAAATATCTAGTGTGTCATTTGGCTCACACCAGACACCGGGTGCTCCATTCTTGAGTTGTGAATTTTTGCCAAGTAAGTTATCGTCGGTATTCGAGGTGACTTCTTTCGACTCCCCATGCGGCACTGCCAACTGGGGATGCTCGGTGACTAAGTGCCAAGATTGCAGGGTGGACTAGCCACCGCGTGATTGACACTCAGTCGGCGAAAGCTCTTATTTGTCCTAGCCTTCCAAAAAAGCTCGTGTTTTTTCCTAATGAACTACTAACTGAATGATCGAGAAGGCGTTTCACCGCAAACTACGTCCTTGGGGTGTCGAATTACTTACATGCATTGTCTGTTCCGTAGAATTCGATTCACCATTGTCCTAACAATGACGCTGTCAACAAGTTGATGATGGTCCAAGACGGTCATTCTATGCATCACTACATTGGCGGTGTGCAGGTCGGTGTTTGCTGATGGCCACCGCGGCAACTCTGTGGTGTACGCTACAGCATGCAGTCGTTTCTGTTCAGTTGCCTGCTGATCTCATCCGTTTGGGACTTTGTCAGCGTCAGGGGGAGCCCCATTTTCAAGTCCGCTACTCTGAACGGGTCTCTAATAGTTCAAATAATGTAGAGCGGGAAATCAGGTCCCTATAAAAGCTAGTCATACAAATGTCTAAGAACGTCCGAGAAACCTTCACTGTCGCCCGTGTGACTCAGCAGGAGACATAAGTGGCTTCTCAAACAGTGCTTCTGTTTGTGGATTCCAGATTTTTTTCTTGTTTTCATCGACATCGCAGTTAGGTGCTGCAATATAGTTGATTCTTCGGTCATAATTTTGTAAAATTGGTCTTAATTTTATATCATTTTATATCATTAGAGAACGACATAACCTAACGTCATGTACCTTACGGGTCTTCCTAGATTGGGAATGGTGTGAGCTTTGAGATCTCCCCTCCGAGTGTGACTTATGGTCTTGGTTACACATTTTGATCACTGTTGATAGCATGTGGCATTGTTCACTGTGCCAGTGTGAACTATCATGCGCCTGTCGTTGTTTCCTAGGTGTTGATGACTTGCCTAACACATGTTTATGTATTAAAAAGTGTCAGTTCTTTCCAAATAAATATCCAATATGACTATCTTAATGCAGGAAAACCCAAGTGAGTTCAGCTTGCCAGTATTCACCTACAAAACCATGTCGTTTGTCAAGGGGTATCACGTTTCGACCTAGAAAGGATGGTGGACCTAGAAGGGATGGTGAAACAGTTATTATTGATAATGTTCCCACACCAGTACATTTATCAATGTTGTGGACCACAGTCTCCTTAGTGGCTTCTCATTACCGTGAACCACGGTCTGGTTAGCCGATTGATAGCCCGGTACGTTTGGCCAAACCAGAAAACGTCGATGAACATGCGAACCGGCTGATCTATTGATCGCTGTCTGGTACAAATGGTCAAAGATGTGATACAGAACAATACAGCTCATCTGTCAAGGACGAGCGAAGAACAACCAATGAATTCCGTCCCAACGAAAGGCTGTTATGTAGTCCCGTCACATTCGGAGCTGGTTCTTCTAATAATTAACAAGTACGATTCAGGTAGACAAAGCTTTCAACAAATCTTCCAGAAGAAAGCCATTTTCAACTCCCCAGCCGCTCGGATTCAAGGTTTGAAAAGACCCCCTTTCCTCAATCTACCCATCTGCCTGACATACGACAAGTGCCTGCTGAGATCCGGTTTAGTGTTTATTAGACATCTAAGATCGAGAAGACACCTTGTTTTTTTCAATATTTCTTTTCCCCCAAAGAATTTCAGACCAAAATGCCGAACATTTGTTCTGGACGTCTGGGTTATGCTTCACTTCATGGTTGTTGTTAGTAGCCTTGCGAACTTCTCCCATATTGCCTCCTGAATGCTCGCGCCACGTTTTCACACATGGTAACTTTCGCGAGAGTGTCGGTCTCTGCGGATCTTGAATAGATTTTTGTGCGAATTTTACTTCATATCTTGTCGGTATTTTAGGCCTATTTGGATTATGTCGAATTAAATCACTTGGTACATGAACGCGGGTTCGATTCCCGTGCGAAGATGTTGCATTTATGTTTTCTGCGCGTACACATTCGAAGCACGTTTATGTCCGTAAGGGTTCCACTGAACCGTGTAATCAATTTGGGCCCCCGTATCCATTTCGAACGCTTTTTATACTTAACAATCCGAGCCTTAGGAACTACTTCCTTGGCTCATAAAAGAACGCTGCTTTGAACCATCTTGATCTGCTTATGTAATGTTGATTGTCAGGTTTTTTTGCAACAAATGTATCGAATTGCAACAGATGTATCGAATTATTTAAATGCACCCAACCGGTATTTTTCAAAACAGTAGAAGTGAAAGTGTCTGAAGGTGATTTTGTCAGTAGTGGTTCGTATGAAATGAAAATGTTCGGGTGTTACTCTATTTTAGTTAGAGAAATATAGGATGGGACACATCACCGTGCTGACTGTATGATGTCCAGGCATTTGTGAATTTCTTAAATCTTAGTTCTGGGCCGATTAGGTAGATGGTTTTCATCCTGAAAGCCTTGGATAGAGAGCATCCATTTAATCAGTATAAACATTGTAGACAACGTTAAACTTCTCTGAAAACGAGTATCCGAAAATGTCGGTCAGAGTGGCTCGAATTACGAAAGCTCTCCAGCTGACCAGTACTGGGTGTACTTTAGGTGACATGGATTTCTGTGCCGCGCTCTTGATGTATGAGCTCCCGACCTAAAACTGAAAATATTTCCCAAGTGTTTGGATATGGACGGAGTTGTACCAGCCTTTTGAGCGCTCCACTGATCACAGCGTTCCGTTGGGATATACGTTGAACTTTTCGGGAATACAGATTGCTATATCGCGCGTTTTACATATGCAGGCTGAATGAAAAGTGTAGATTGGTGTTTCATGTTTCTTTCTGCGATTGAGGCGAATCTACGTATCTTAATACACCTATCCGATGGAGGTTATCTTGAGAGACTGATTTACCCGGGACGCGAAAACTGGCAGTCGTGTCTTTGAATGGCCTTGAAAACACGCACATTGTACGCAGATCTGTGGGGAAGTATGCAGTGGATGGATACAAGCAAATTGTGTCCGTTCATGCTTTGAATTGGGTCGTTACTGCGTTCTGAACACGCCTAAACCAGTTTTAGTCGTTTGGTAAACTTTTCTCCTGTCAGTGTGAATTAAAAAATAGGATCGTTGCAATGCAGCCCAAAATTAATGACCAGACAAAGCCCAGAGGAACTACGTCTTCTCGAATAAAAAGTTAGAACTGGTAGAAGATGAGCACCAACTTTTTCATGTCCAGAATTCGGCAAGGTCGAAAGGCCACACGTTTTGCTATTTCCGAAAATCACGTGTACGGTGGACCTCACAAATCGCCATCTTGCACGCTTGCTTCTATAAGATCTTGTGTTAGGATTGGTGGGCAAAATCTTGCTGCCGAAACCAAGTGAGTAGGGCAGACGGACTGGATATTCATGACAGCCACGCGGAAAAGATGGTCGCTGAAGCGGTGATTTGGGCCTTAAAACCAATATCACTCTGGTTGGTGAAACGCAGCTATTCATCTCAGCTTTGAGGCGCTAGAGTTGGATAGTAAACGGTTAGACTAGTGAGTTTTCGTGGGGAAAGATATTGACATAATAGCATAGCAGGTTGAAATTCCGCAAAAATAAAACTGGTTTGCATGGGGAACAGAGAGTTGCTGAGGAGCAAATGAATCCGGACTACTGGAACCAAACGCGCCAAGTAGTTTATGGGGTCAGAGCCACTGACTATCGCACCTCATCCCAGTGGCGATATATTGGGTTTAGAATTGACCGGCTAGTGGGGTGTATCTTTTTCCGATTCTTCTTTTCAAAACCACCTCAAACCACGAATGAAACGGTGGATACTACTGATGAGGCATGCGAGTAGTATGTTCTCTCGTAAATCCGCTACGCGTCTCTTGGAAAGTGTGATCCATTACGGAATTTGTGTAGCCGCTGTTAGCATTTGCTTGCATTTGAGTAACAGTCACTGAATATCCTGGAAAGTTCCGGAATTTCATATTTTATATATACAGTGTTCAGCAGAATAAGTCATAGACGTTTTTACATTTATTTGCTCGCCACCTTGAAAATTGGAAATCATTTTGACTGTACAGCATGGTTTGCTAGGAGGTAAGAGTTGAATTCAGAAACATTAAAACCTTGAATGCCTTCTCACCGAAGGGATCTAAACGGATGGGAATGACGGTGGGGTCGTGAACTTAGTGACTATGTTTTACCTCGAGGCCCAGCCACACTGACGGCGTGCACGGACCTCTTCAATTCCACTTTTTGTCGCATTTCGAACAAAGAACTGATTGGACACAGTATTGTGCTATCTATCTGTTTACAGCACTTTTATTCCAGCTGAACGATCTTTTGATCAGCGGGGAAGAATTCGTGTCACTGAACAATTCGGCTTGTGACGGCTTTGAAATCAAGTCATCTCGTGGTGAAATACCGACTCAAACTTGAGTCGACAGTCATATAAACAGAATCAAGATAAGTATTTCCAATGAAAATCCTAGATTTCAGTGAAAGTGACCTGAAAAATACAATTTGAACAATTTGCGGAAAACTGTTTAACAGCTTTGTTTGTTTGAGTGAATGAAATCAATGTGAACAAAGTGAGCGGTATGTTAGGAGGGAAAAATTCCTCTTATAAGTAGCAACCAAGATGTTCGTGACCAGAAGTTGGTCAACACCGCGGAAACCGTTTGCATCCATATGCGATGAGTGTCTGGCCGTTGGAATTTCTATGATTCTTGAAAGAAACATAGAACTATCCCCTTATTGATCTTTGGAACCCCAGTCTCATTGAGGTGGTCTTAATGAGCTTTGTTCATCGAATGAAGGTCGATCAGAAACGGAAAGCAGGTCGTTCTTTTCCTGGAGTCATATTCTTACCTGAGAAGTTGTGAATAAGTGAATCCGGACGCATCTCCAACGAGGATGTAATTTGGAATTCCTTAAACTTAACCCCGAATCGTCTGCGTACCACAGCTGTGTGTGAGCAAACATTTGATGAACGTTTGCGCATTGCTACCCCAAAGAAATTCTTCAATCGTATGTGCTTTTGTACGCCACGGAGTCTTTGTCAGGCGGAGTTGTATCAGGTGGCTAGGGCAGTAGCTCAGACCTAAGACGACCATTCACGTCACGCGAGAGGGACTCACGGCATCGTCTTGTCAAAAGTATCAACCCTTTAGTGTGTTTCTAGTAGAAAAGCGCGGCCATTTAGTCACTCATACTATCAGGAGTAGGAAGCCTTTTTATGTCTGTTTTAGACCAGAAATTGCAACAATGTTGGGTTATGTTTGTGGTTAGGTTAGGTTGTTGATTTATTTAAAAAACGTGGGCTCCCAGCAACTGCAGCTTTCAGAATCTGGCAAGTAATAAAATCTTGGCCACATAAGACAAGGACACTAGCAGTTCCAATTTCCCGCTAACGTGTGATTTCCAATTCACTGCTTACTGCTGCCTCAAATGTTTGTACGTTTGGATTGAAAGTGCACTCTGCTTTTGCACATCCTAAACATCTGTTACGCGCATTGTTCTGTTTCTTGTATAACCGGTTGATCGCAGTGATATTCTTGTGCCGTGGGAGATCGGTTTCTTTGTGGACGAGGTCGATGCTGGACGAGAAAGCTTGACTGATGTATGGAGGAAAAAACCTTCTTTGCGGTTACGTTTTAAGTAGTCTTGGTTGCTGCCGTATTAAAAACCGCAAAATTGGAAAATTCTCGGACTTTATAGTTTTCACTGAGTTGTTGATATTTGGCCGAAGAAACGGGATCAGTAACCCCAAAAACATCAGGTAGATATTCAAGGGGTCTATTTAAATTATGGATTAGATGAGGAGTTCAAAATGGACAGAGGCCTCACCAGAGCCAGTTACGTGTGCACTTAAATGCACCATCTCAAACTCATCCTGTCCTAATTCAGTAAACTGAGTCTAAGCCACGTGTCGTGCACGTGACGATAGCATGGCCAACTGTGAGCAGGACTTTGCTAGTATAGGCATGACGGGTGCATACGCACAAAATCTGGCAGCCGGATAAATACTGTCGATTGAAATTCCATAACGCACTACTTGTAACACGGCTGAGTTTCATTAGACGCTTTACAGGGGTTCCTCATTTGGATGTAGACCTTGAGTGCTGCAGGCAGGCCTACTCGTGCCTTCTTTAATAAACCATATTCAGGATATCGCCGCATATTTGTTTCGCAAAACACACTTCCCATCAAGTTTCTGAAAATGTCTTCGAAAGTTCATAAGTCGATTGGCCAGTTTTACTTCCCACCAGGTGGGTTGGAATGATAGTTGTCAAAATCGGCTAACCTGAAAGGAATGGCTTCAAAGTTCCTTGAAGATGGGAACTTTGTTTGTCAATAGGAAACCAGAATGAATAACCGTAATGAGCCCTGAAAGAGCCAGCGATAACAATGCGGACATTAGATAGGCTTGACAGTTTCTTCAGGCTAAACTTACTTTAAAATACCGCGGAAGCCGAACACGCCTTTCTGTGAGCAATGTTTACTCACAGAAGAGCTCAAACCAACAAGAACTGATAAACATGATATGAAGTTGTTAGAAAACCTTGTTTGGAAACTGCGTTATGGAAATGATTTTGGAGCAAAGTGATATTTTGGACGCCACGTGGTTCATTGGGGGAAATCACACCTAAATGTAATTTACAAATATGCGTGTGTTGCAGACAGTGGACTGAAAAGTTACATCGGTGACAGACACTCCGGCTACATTTTGGTGATTTCTGATAGGTGAAACCTGTCTCAACCAGGCAAAATCGCCCGCTACGTAAAAGTATTCGAGTAAGACGAACGACCGGCCCGTGTTTCGAAATCCACCCGCATCCCAAATGGATACAAACCGTGACAAACTAACTAAACGAAAGCTCCATCCTGTGAAATCGCGGACAAACTCCAGAGGGGACACGCAGATCTCGTTGGAAAGTTCACGGATAATGTCAACACGGTGCTTGCACGGGTAAAACGATGTTAAATTCATAGTTGTGTCATACAATTAACACAAAGTCGGCATGTCACAAATTCCGTTCTCATCATCACAGAAAATTTCCTATTTCGTGTTTCCATGGAGCAGCGAGATAACTACTAGCAGGCAAGACGCACTTCTAGCTTAATAGAGGTGGTTTGAAGGAAACTGGTTATCTGTCCATTTGATTCAGTGCATACCTCAATTCAGTGTCCCTGTCACCTGTTTGTGGTCCTTTTTCCAAGAAAAAAATGTTTGGAAACAAAACAGATCTTTTCTAAAATGTTGTTTTCACAGTGGTTATCGCAGTAAGTCCCATTTGAAACCCGATTCTTGAGTTCAGCATCGGTAGCGGACGAAGAAATCAGGGACGAGAGTGTATCCTCACTGTGATTACATTTGTGTAAAAGAATACGTTGATTACTTATCTAAAAAGCCATAGATGGGAGGACGTCAATAAATTCGATAATGCATAAATACGCAATTGATATCCCATGCGATACTCATCCAAGTTGGGCAATATCTTCCAGAGACCATTTGGTGCGGTCCCCATCGTATCCTTATGTCTACGGAGATGACGGTTTACGCATTCTGCCAACCACACTGAGGACCACCAGCCGCACCCGTGCATTCACGGTACATCAGAGAGAAATTTCAAAATCAAATTCAACCCACTGCTTTATTACTTACACCCGATAGTAAAGTGCGAAATGCCGTAGACATTCACGTTTCTTGAGCATTGTCACTAACCTGCCCAACGCAGATGGCCTTAGAGTCCCCGAGTTACAAAAACGGCGGTTTGACAGGTGACAACCCGGAAACTCCAGTCTTTAACAGGGCAGGACTCAGCAGAGTACCAGCAAATACCGAAAGAGAATTTCGTCTGAGTAAGGGACAAAATTGTACCCACATTTCTTCCTGGATTTAGACAATTCACACATGTTTGCGTCGGCATACTCAAAGAACACACTATGAGAAATGCCCACCCGAGAATCTAACTGGATTCCCTCAAATCTGCAGCGTCAAACTCGATATGAAAGTGCCGACTTTGCCGAACTTTCTTCAACGATAAGTGTTTGTAGGTGTTGCATTATCGTGCACTATTTGAAAACAATAATCACAAAACTACTACTCATGCTGTTTCAGTAACAATTATTTGGACTTTCCTTGTTTCGTTAAAAATTTTGGCAACGACTTTCGGAGGGTTTGTTTGTTTTATTGCTTGAAACTCGTCAAAATGGTTTTTAGAATTCATCAGTAAATATATGCAGGCACACTCCAATTTTGCCAGAAAAGTCTAGATAGCGGTGTTCATCTTGAGTGCAATGTAGTGTAACCAAATTAGAGAAGGCATATTATTTTCCGTTAAAAGGTGACTTACGCGTGCGTGGAACTGCATAGTTGGTAGACGGTAACGTTCGGTTTGTAACCCCATTAAGGCTCTATTCTTTCTTTCACACCCCGGGGTCTTGAGCGCTCAACAATGTGCTTCAATTAGTCCTTGCTGCAATCTAAATTCTCGGGGTCCTCTTCGGATTTGGCACGTGGTGATACGAGGAAAGCCCTTCACCTTGAAGACTTTTAATAGCTTTTCAATCTTTTTTTGGATCTTCGGGGACTGCTACACAATAGTGGACAAACAAGGGAAAACGGTTCCACAATGTACGCAGAGAACTTCAACTAACCATAGACTACTGACAAAATTCATCAGTAGTATATATCGTTAAATGGTGCTAACGGTCTGATCGGACTGGCTGAAATAGTCTTTATCATTTGATAGAACAAATTAAGATTTTCGGCCGCCTTAGAGGGCTCCAGACGGATAAGGTCTCACTAGGGAGCGATACCAAAGAAAACCACACTCGACGGTTGCATCTCCACGGTTAGGGGCAGCTGACAATCAGTGTTTAAGAAAACGAGTGCATTTGTCATTGTTTTTGTTTGAGGTTACCAGGATCAACAGAACTTTCCGATTCCCACATGGCAAGGAAAGAGAGGAGAGCTCAGATTTGTCCTAGGACACAGGAGAAATGAATGGGGAAATTTTATTAAAACAACAGCATGCACCGACATGAACAATATTCAAAAGGCTTTTGTTCACCAGCAAAGAGGCGTTTGAAATATCGAGGTGTCATGTCGCTTACAATATTTAGCAATATGCTCAACCTTTCAGAGAATGCGATCATTTCAGTGTCGCACGTCGTTTTATTCCACATGATTTCTACCCTCGTAACGGTGCATGCTACTGATGATGCGAACGAGTAGCCTATGGTGTGGTGCCTGACAACCGCGGCCTCGTCTGATGGAAGGTGAAATTCATTACGGATATTATTTATGGCAGAACATCTTGTGGTCCGCATTCTCACATGATTTCTTGATAGAAAAAGCTATTTTAAATCCGAATAACGCGCTTCAAAACGACCTTGCAGAAAACTCACCACCGAGAACAGGTGTGTTGAAGTTGGGAAATATTCCGGTTATGGCCTTAACCCAGTGTATTCCGCGTTGTGATATAAACACGTTTTATTTTGAACAAACTAGTTGCGATAAAGTAAACAATATATGTACGACTTCTCCCTGGGAAGTGTTTTATCTGATAGTCTCTGTCTATGGTAGTCGCACGGATGGTATTTGATCTGTTTGCCGAGCTTGGTAACTGGCTTGGAAACTCCAAACAGGGCGACCACAGAGTATAATAAGGATTGTATATTCACGATCCGTTTGTTGCTTTGGTCATAGTCGTGTCTGCGTAATGCGCTCTCCAAGTAACCTCCGTGAACGCGTATGTCAGTTCGGCTCCACGAGAGTAAGGGATGGTTTTGAACTGTGGACAAATGAACGTACGCAACCCTACCCGATCTAGTCAAACGCGAAATGAGTCATCTCACTGGAATAGACAGAATCGATTGCAAGAAAATAACCTTACAGTAACACCTCTATCGTGTTCCAGTCGAATGCCGATATTTAGGTTTTGGTGTCGGCAGGGATATTTAATTCAGCCTGGTTAAACCAAACGGTTAAGTTTCCGCTAATTTTTAGAATCCGACAGTCACTGGAGAAAGTAGACTGTCGATACGTCACAAGTGTCAACAACAGATAACTTTCACCAACGGTGACCGGCCAAATAACTTAAGGGGATGCTTCGAGTCGTGAAAGCAAATGGATGAAACCGCGATGTGGCGGATTCTGTTTCAATGTTCTTCTCATAATTTTCCACCGTTTGTAAGGAACCAAACCTATCATGCAGAGTTTTCCTCAAGACCCCTGAGGCAGAACATCTTGTGGTCCGCATTCTCACATGATTTCTTGATAGAAAAAGCTATTTTAAGTCCGAATAACGCGCTTCAAAACGACCTTGCAGAAAACTCACCACCGAGAACAGGTGTGTTGAAGTTGGGAAATATTCCGGTTATGGCCTTAACCCAGTGTATTCCGCGTTGTGATATAAACACGTTTTATTTTGAACAAACTAGTTGCGATAAA